GACAAAAATGTGGCGGGCGCATCTGGCCAGGTTCTAGCAGGAAGTTCATTGTCATTTTGCACATTTCGACATTGGTGTGGCGACGCCCTAAACCATTCATGCTCTCATAGGCCGAACAACAAAAAAAACCGGATGACTGGTCCCGCATGAAAGCACCGCTGCGCTCTCGCCAGAATAGACCCCGAACAACCCCGAACAACGGGACAAGACCAACCGGGATGCAGACAAGGGTGCCAAAAAACAAACATAACAGATCCTAGATGACAAGTCCCACATGCAAGCAGCGCCCCCTACATCACAGAGGCCGCCAAACGACGAGACAATGACCAACCAGAGATATCAATCAACAGATTCAACACCCTTGCCTTCCAAAAAAAAACAACCCTCCCGAAAAAAAAAAAAAAAAAAAAAAAAAAAAAAAAAAAAAAAACAGATAACAAACCCTTCGTGCTCGCCAGCATAGACAGTATTAGACACCCTATTTTCATGGTTTCGACGCATGCTTCGCTGGTCTAAAGACTCTAAACTGAAATACTGGGACACCACCGATGGCCGAAAAAAAAATACAAGGACATAGATATATAGTCAAACAGTAGACAAGTTATAAAGGCTAACTTCCCGTCTAGATACAGTGATACAAGTTATAATGAAATCATATGAAATCTGGGATTAGAGATTCCCGACTGGTGCTGGACTGCCCGTCCTTTTCCCCCAAAAAGAACGTATAGTCACTATAGCTGTATTTGGGGTAATTTCCAGTCTAGATACAGTGATATTGCCGGTACGTTCTACTGGGGGCTCGCAATGTGAATTTATTTGTGTTAGACAATGGAATCTCTCATGTAGGTGCTGCTGACAACTCACACTAGAACCTTTTCGACTCGACTCTGGACGTGATTGCGGTCAGATGCATCCAGGTGTGGCCGTAATTGCAGTCTGATACATTTAGAAAAGTGGTAGTGCAAGTATGCCCTGAATTTATTTCCTCTTCACCCTCTTCTTTTTTTTTGGGAAAGGCCATCTTCTTTTTTCTTTTTTTTTTAATTTGGACCATTTCTCGATGGAATAATTTGCAATATACCCCCATAAGTTGAGAGATGTGCCAAAATGCCCCTAAAAGATGTGGGTAGAGCGGAATACCCCTCTGACAAAAAAAATAGTTTGTGAAATGCCCCTAGCATCGGTTGGACCCCCATCTTTGCAATATTCCCCTACCGGGTACCGTCCAACTTTGCAAAATGACCCAGTACTTGCCAACTTTTCCTAGGCGCTATTGCAAAGGGCCAAGGCCCAAACGGGGGGGAGGTCCAGATTGCAAAGTTGCGCACCCGCCTGACAGGGGCACGACACAAAGATTTCGGCCCAAAACGGCATTCCGCTCTACCCACATCTCTCACGGGCATTTTGGCATATATTGTCACAAGAATATATCAACTTGTGGGGGTATTTTGCAAATTATCCCTTTCTCGATTTATGCGTGTCATCCTTGCGCAGGGGCCATGCTAATCTTCTTTTCTCCGTATCGTTCCAATTTTCACGGATGTCCCGAAGGACAGCCCTCTCTCTTTTAGTTTCCCTCTCTCGCAAAAGGCCTCCCGACGTCGCACTAGCAAAGAGGATTGGATCAAGCGCCTGAATCTGGACGTGTTTAAAGCGGAGAGGCATAAAAGCAGATCAATCCCAGTTTTCCGCAGGTCTCCACAAACACGTCCCAATTCAGGTCTTATATCCAATCCTCTTTGCTAGTAGGGACCAAAAGAGGATTGGATTAAGCGCCTGAATCTGGATGCGTTCTATGCAGAGATGCAGCAAACCAGATCAATCGCGATTTTCTGCACTTTTCCACAAACACCTCCACAATCAAGCATTCAATCCAATCCTCTTTGCTAGTGGGACCTAGTGTGGGACCTAGTGGGACCTGTCCCCGCGGCTAAGTCCCACTAACAAGGGGGGGGGGGGTCGACTTCTATTTAAAATTTAAATATATTGACATCCCCTTTTAACTGATCACTTATACAAGTTTCTTTTTTTTTTTCACTGCCAAGTCTTCTATAAATAAATAGTCTTACGTCCTTTCGGGACATTAGTCAATTTTTTTGTCTTTATTTTTTATTATTATTTTTTTTGAAACACTGGCTCCTTTCTTTTTTTTAATGTTTTTTTTTTTTTTTTTCACTGGCTCCTTTCTTATTCGTGCATCAGTCAAATTTTGGAACTATACACACCTTTTTTAAGGGCAACGACCTTGAGATATCATCTTCGGACTGAGGGGCCCCACGTAAATCCCGAGTTGTTTTCACTCAACTGATTCAACTGATTCAACCGGGATTCGAACTCAGGTCTGTATGTGAACAGTTCATGAGTGTACCAACTGAGCTAGGCCAGTTGGTACACTCAAGATTTTTGCATGTAACGAAAAAGAGGAAAAAAAACATATTTTTCTAAAAAGGATTTTTGCATGGCCCCTCTGCACAAATGGCACGAAATTCATATATAAAAAAATTCAAAAAAAAAAAAAAATCATCGTTCACCATGGGACGCGGGTTAAGTCCCAATCTTGGGGCTTAACTTTGACCCCCCCGTCAGCAGGGTTGCCGGCGTTCGGGACGGGTCGACGCGTTCGGCCGAACGCGGACCCAAAAAAAAAAAAAAAAAAAAAAAAACGATTTCCAAAAAATCTGAAAAAATATATGTTATACAGAAGAATAGACTAAACAACATTTGCCTCAACGTTACATCCACATTTTTTATCAAATTTGAAATAAAAATCAAATACTAAAAATAAATAATAATAATGGAAATTAGAAAAAACAAAACGAGAATGAAATTATTGAGTGGCCGAGCACGTTTTGGACACCGCCATCTTTGGTGATTTTTCTTTTTTTTTTGGCTGTGACAAATGCCATGACAATTTATGTATGTGTATCTTACATAATAGAGAATATACAAATAAAGTTTGAAATAATAATAATTTTTTTCATGCCCCGAAATAAAGGAAAAACAAAAAGTGAAAAGAGAGAAAAAACAAATTAGTGAGTGGGCAAGCACGTTTTGACACCACCATCTTTGCCGATTTGTCATTTTTGTTTGGCTCAACAGAATGGCTTCAAACTTAAGACGGAGATACCTTACATCACAAAGAACTCACAGAAAAAAAATTCAGAAAAAATAATAATATTTAGGTGCCAAAATGTTTTTCTGCGGGGTCCGAACCCCTTCAGGTTCGGGCCCCGTACGGGGACCCGAACGCCCGAACGTTCGGGGGTCAGCTTAGGGGCCTCCGTACGTTCGGCCTGGCAACCCTGCCCGTCAGCTTATTAGCCGTTTGGTTGAGCGTGCAACTCCCATGAGGGAGATCGCGTGTTCGATTTTCGAGATCGGAACATGCAGAAAAAAAAAACTTTAAAAATGCAATTTCACCATATGCGTCTTGATTTACTTTTTAGTTTTTTTAGGAGACGTAATTTACATAAGCGAAGCTGAGTAATGCTCTCAGGCCGGGAAGATGATGAGGTCCCCGGCTTGAAAACAATTGTTCTGCGATTAAAATCGAAAACTTCAAAAACAAAAAAAAACAAAAAAAACGAAAAAAAGAAGAAGAAGACGCATGGTAATTTCCAGACATGGCGCGAACCCCAAACCCACGCCCGCTTTAAATGATGACGTCACGGTTCAAATGAGGACGTTCACGCTTTCTAGTCCCACAAACAAGGAGAGGGTCCGGTAGTTGTGCGACTTTCTACCTTTTTTTTTCCCTTTCTTTTTTTTTTTGTTGCTGTGCGGCCTTCGGCTGACATGTGGATTTTGACGGTGCAGAGGAGTCTTTCGGAAAATGGGGAGGGAACCAAAGAGGGGCAAACAACCAACAAGAACAAGAAAGAACAAAAGCGACAGAAGACAAAGAAGATTGTGAAAGAAGAAGAAGAAAAGAAGAAGAAGAAGAGATACATGAGCACGTCAATAGATAAACAGCAAGATCGGTATCCATGACCGCATAAAGGATTTTGCTGTCTATCCCATTCGTTTCCTCATTCGTCCATCCCATCCGTCCATCCCCCATCTGTTCATTCCCTATCTGTCCATCTCATCCGTCCATTCCCCATCTGTTCATCCCATCCGTCCATCCCCCATCTGTTCATCCAATCCGTCCATCCCTTTGTCTTTGCTCACCATGTTCAGATTCGCGTGAACGGATAAAAAAGCGTTATCTATGATCGTCGTGATCCACCTCCTCTTCTTCCTCTTCCTCCTCCTCCTCTTCTTCCTCCTCCTCCTTCTCCTCTTCCTCCTCCTCCTCCTTCTCCTCCGCCTTCTCCTCCTCCTCCTCCTCCTCATCATCATCCAAAATTCTGCACACTGTGACATTCACTGGATCAAATTTGGAACTTCAGCGTAATTATGGAAAATCGTCAGTCCGACGGGTTCGACACGTCACCTTGATAAAAAGGATGTGTTTAAAAAACAAAATAAAGATTAGGACGAGACTTCGTTGCTCAGCCGTAGCGAGAAAAAGAGGAAGATAAAAGGGAAGAGACGTTCTGCGTATATGGTGTGCGTTCGTTCTCGAACGGCGGTAAACAGAACAAGAGTGACTTTCAACGATTGCGCGTTTTATAATACGGAGAGATTTTTTTTTTTTAAGTGATTAAATGAATACATCCAATTACGCAATCAACATCCAATTATTCAATCAACATCCAATCATGATCCAGTCATTATCCAATCATCATCCAATCATCATTCCCGATGAATCGCCAGAGAGGAAAAGGGCGCTCAATTATCATCTAATCATCATCATCATCGTCATTACGACATCATGACGGTCATCGTGAGCCATCCATTCCTTATGACACGTCATAGAGAGAGAGAGAGAGTCGGAGAGGCAGAGGGAGAGGGGGAGAGAGAGACGGAGAGGGAAAGGGAGAGGGAGAGGGAGAGGGAGAGAGAGAGAGAAAAGGAGAGAGAGAGAGAGAGTCCAGAGAATATGAAAATCCACCCACCTCGCCTGCCTGTTTGTCCCTCCTCTTGTCCTCAGTCTTGCCTCGTGACGAAATACGAGACGCTGGACGGGATCGGGATTGGGTGGCCCGTTGTGCCCCCGCCGTTCCATGTTCTGCTCCCTTGCCCTTGCTGTCAGCCGACATTGGACGGGATCGGGATTGGGTGGCATGCCTGCGGGCATCATTTGCCAATTCCGCACATTCTAACTGCCACATCATCATCGACGACGAGTCATTATCATCATCGCCGCTTCTTCTCGTTCCTCCCTCCAGCGGCGGCCGTCGCCCTAATCGCCTCTCGTTCGTCCCATCCAACGGCTCGGAGGCTCCGTCAATGGAAGTTTCTCCTCGCGCAGCACCCAATCCCGATCCCGACCATTTCTCATTCACCCACCAGCACCACCACCATGATGGCGATGGCGATGGCGATGGCGATGATGACGATGATGGCGATGATGGCGATGATGGAGATGATGGCGATGGCGAAAACCACCGACGATAAGGATAAGCCCCTCCCGCCGCCGTGACTCTCTTCCTGGTCGTCCTCGAGCTCCTGCTGACGTCCTCGTCAGAAGGCATCGGAAGGTGGGGGGGGTGGCCACTGCAGCTGCCGTTCCAAGATCCCGACACGCCCAATCCCGATCCCAATCCCGATCCCAATCCCGACTGCAACGACGAGGTAACGAACCACCTTCCCGTCAAAAACATGGCAGAACTTGTTGACGTCTCGCAATTACAGCTGGAACAGGCACGACGACGACGGATGTCCCATCTCGAGGGGCAATTACACCGGACAAAAAACGAGTCTTGACCCTTCCTAGGGGTGGAGGAGATCGGGCATCCCGCCGTCCACGCCTTCGTCTTTGGCAAACGTCGCAGGGGTGGGGACCACCTCCCCCTGTCGTGGCGTTGGGAGAGAGGACGGTGGGCGTTTTCCTCGATCCTGCCTCCGCCACGTGTCATCGGCATCGTCATCGTCATCGTCATCGGACAATCCTGTGACTTCTCTCTATGCCGCTGTTGATTTCCTTGCTGCCAATCATTCTCGACGACCGCTTTGGCCGTACGACCGGTCGTTGCTTGCAGAAGCAGCAGCGACGGTCGTACGACCGGTCGTAAAAAGACTTTTTTATTCCCAGCTATCCTGTCATGGTTGGCCGCAGAAGTGTCCCTCAGCCTCTGCTTCCTGATCGATGAACCTGTAGCTGCCACGTGGAATTCGTCGTCATGTGCTTTTTCTCTTTTCCCGCGAATTTTGTCCCCGGCGTTCTTCACTGCATTTTCCCGCCTTTTTAAATCCTCGCCTCCGACACCCCTTCCGACAGACCGCCACGTCAGCCGCCCCCCGCCACTTGTCGTGGCCGTACGATTATCTACGATCCCGATCCCAATCCTTGTCACGAGGCAACCTCGTGACGTCACTGCTGCCGTTCCCGCCATCGCGCAATCCATCATGGCCATATTAATCGACGGAGGGTGGGTGATTTCCCGCCAAAAATCAATTGCCACGTAACCCGGTCACTAAGTGTGGATGTCTGATTTGATTTCCCGCCACCGCAATCAATGCACGTGATCAAGCCGTTCTGTCAATCTACCTATTTATCTAACCATACCCCTCCTAACCCCTCTCCCCCCCCCCAACCTTCCTCCCCCCCGCCACCTCCCTTCCCCCCTTCCCCCTTCCCCTTTTCCCCGCGTTTCTTGTTCTTTTGTCCCTTTGTGCCTGCGGTTCAGCGGGCAATTCTCATCGACTACATACGTAGTATATAGATATATTGGGAGAGTAGGGTTCAGACTCCTGCTGAATCAGTAGATGAAACTCCGACGGAACAGTCTGTCACAGCCCCCTCCTTTGTTGTCCTCTTCTCCCTCTCCCTCTCTGCCTACCGTTCACCGCTCAGTTGTGATTGACGATGTTTATATACATATATGTTTTTTTTTTTTTTTTAACAAGGAAACTCTGCTCATTTTATTACTACTCAAAAAGAGGGAGGCCGGGAATTCCTCCACACAAACAACGCGGAAAAGATATATATGCTTTTCTATTTGTGTATATGACTTACCTATATATATATCATCACATAAATATCAGAGCGCAAAAGCGAAAAAAAAAAAGGAAAACAAAAAAAACTATCAATTCATTTTTTATCTTCTTCCTTTATACAATTTTTATTCTTGATTTTCTATTTACTAAACTCCCCATCTACACATTGACTTCGCTCCTCAGACACAATATTCTCTCACAGACTTTACATGATACACATACATACAATCTTCTCTCTTCCAGTCGACGTACAAATTTAAAAAAAAAAAAAAACATTAAAACAGGAGCACGAGCACCGATTTTATTTCAACCAGGCCCCAAAAAAAAAAGAAAAGGTAGAAAAAGAGAAAAACAACAACGAATAGGAAGAAAAGAAACTCTTCCTCTGTATGTTGTTGATAGCTGATGCTTTTTTGTTTCCTAGCATGACCAGCCAATCTCTCTCTCTCTCTCTCTCTCAATCTATCTATCTATCTATCTATCTATCTATCTATCTATCTATCTATCTATCTATCTTTTTTTTATCTCTCTATCTCTGGCTTCTGTTTATGACGATAGCTATGGGATAAATTACAGTACAGCTATAGAAAATAATAAGTAAAAAAAAACACAAGCTCTTAACTAGAACACAGCTATGAAAGAAGAAGAATAGTGAAGAGTGAATAGTGCAAAACAGTGGCTATAGACTGCTTCTAGTACGTGCACTCGTGTACAGTCATTCCAACTCAGCTATACACAAAAATGTACTGATCTCAGAGCGAGACGCGCAAAGAACAAGCAATTGCCAGCACTTGCTTATCGAACACGAAAGTCGTCAATGTCATCGAATAAAAATACAAAGCTACGTGTTCGAAGAACTTAGCTATCAATCGAACCACAGCTAGCTATCAACAAAAACACACAGCTAGCTATCAACCGAAAAAAAAAAAAAAAAAAAAAAAAAAAGCTAGCTCTACCAAATTCTATTTGGACTCGTCAGCAAATCTGTCTGTCTGCAATCGTCAGAAAATCTGCCTGACCGTTTTACAGGAGAGGTTTTTTTTTTTTTTTTTTTTTTTGGCAACACGACAATTAATTGCTTGGAAAAAAAAATAAAAAAATTAGGGAGAAGCGTGGGAATGTCCAACGGTGGTGGTATGTCCTCTATTTCACTGAGGGTGAGCAGAACTGCTGCTGCTGCCCAGAATCGAAGGGAAATTTCAATCTCCCAAAAAAAAAAAAAAGTCGATAGCTGTAATTTCACACAGTTATCTCCTGCCAATTTTCATCTTCAAAAAAAAACGAAAAAAAGTCAATAGCCGTAATTTCGTATCTTCCCACAACTATCGACTACAAGCGCAAATGCAAACGCGAAATTAAAATAAAATTAAACAAAGGGAAAACGCAGGAACAATATAAAAAGGACAGTAAATTGAGTAATCAAGAGAGAGATGCACAGAGAGAGGCACAGAGGGAGGCTCAGAGCGAGCGAGCGAGCGAGAGAGAGAGAGAGAGAGAGAGAGAGAGAGAGAGAGAGAGAGAGAGAGAGAGAATCAAAACACAGTGCGGGCGGGTTGCATAAAATAATAATATAATAATTATTAATAATCATAAAACGACCATCAGAAAAGCGCGCCACGAAAAAAGAACAACCACCAGGAACGCTGATTTTAACATTCGTCAGTTGGGGGGAGGGGGGGGGGAAATCCCCACCAACGAGCCGAGCTCATTTGCTACACCCATGCATGACCTGTTCAGATATAGACCAGATGCAATCAGATGAACAGAGGGAAAAAAAAATCCCCGTGTTCGAATCTAGATCAGATATAGACCCAAGTTCGAATCCAGATCAGATATAGACCCACGTTCGAATCCAGTTGCAATCAGATGAACAGACAGAAAAAAAAAAAAAAAAAAAAAAAAAAACCCCGTTCAAACTTTCGCAAAAAAAAGAGGGAATTGTTGTCACCCCTCGGCCCAA